TTTCCTAATTTTCGTTTAATTTTTAAATTTATTGAATAAGTCAAAAAACTAGATGTTGCAAACTTTAAAAACTTAGTCATTGCCAAAAGAATATCCGTTGTCAAACTCAATGCTTAAATAATTTTTTTTTAAATGGCACTTAAGGCCCGCAAACCCGTCCCGTCCCATCCCGTTTGTTAGCGGGACGGAATGGGCCTACCGTCCGTCCCGTCCCGTTTGATAGCGGGACGGGATGGGCCTACCATTTCGTCCCGTTTGTCCCGTCCCATTTCGTCCCGTCCCGCCACCGTCCCGGCTAAATGTCGTCCCGTCCCGTTGGACAGCCATAGTCAAACCTAGGAAAATTCAAACATTCAAATTGTTAACTTTCGGCAAAACAAGTCAAATCATCCTAGGGATCTCTGAAATCAATTACGGACATACACTCAAATCCAAAATCACAATACGAACCTACCGGAATCGTCAAAATACCGATCCGAGGCCGTTTACCAAGAATATTGACCGTAGTCAACTCTAGCCTCATTTTTAGTCAAAATTTCCATTTTTATCAAAATTTCATATAAAATCTTTTCTAAAAGAGACATGGACCACGCATGCAAATCAAAGAACATTAAATGAAACTACGAGAGGTATCGGAACACAGAAATAAGGACTAGTACTCAAAATGACCTATCGGATCGTCACACTCTCAAATGGGAAGATAAAAAAAAACACAAGAAAACAAATGACGAATGTGTCGAAATAACGAAACTTTATCAGAATACAGATGTTATGTATTTTCAACTGAAGTTAACTTAGTGTAATGTAATGCGTATAACTTACCTGAATTAATCAATTTGAAAGGTAGGATATTACATCATCCAATTACAGTTTGAGATTCTAGGGGTTGTATATGGTGAAAATCTCATGTAGCTTGAGTGCCAATAAGAATAGTATAGAATGTTGGGAAAAATAATATCTCGCCCAGGAATAATATTCACGGTAAATAATAATAACATAAGAGAGTAACAACGACACCAAATCTTTTAATTGGGTAAAACACAATACCCAAGTGGAGCAATATAATACCACTATAATATTACAACTTGATAGTGTCAACAGACTACTACAATTTCAAAAGAAATAACACTCTTTATTTTAAAGACTTCACTACAATATTACTCCCACTCACTATTTATCTCACATACTACAATATTGAATTACTCTTTCTGCGCTCATACTACAATAGCTCTATTGCGCTTTCTGATTTTGGTGTGTTGAAATGGAAGGACTGAGTCCTATTTATACGACAACTTGCCAACCTTTTAGCCAATCAAAATGCTTGATTCTTTACAATTTGCAAAGCAAATTGCCAACGTCCGAGCTTGGTTTTGGATTGAGTCTTGTTGCAACTTGCAACTTTGTAGGATTCTTGTTTATGCCGTTATTGCATAGCAACTTGTTGTTAATTTTTTTTTTTAATTACTTTTTATTTTGATTGGCCCCATATAAAAGATCAGTGGAGCTTATGTACTTAACTGGATATTGTGGCCATTATTTTTGTTAGTTAATAATCACTTTGTACTAAATAACTGGGAAAAAACTTTCTTTTCCCTTTGCTACATTAATTTAATGAAGATGAAAAGGCATCGAAATTAATTTGAAAAATAACAAGTCAATTTCGTAACCCTTGTTAACTTATACAGTATTACGTAGGCGTAAAATCAGCATGTTCCACATTTATAAAATTAGAATGGCAGTGTACCCTAAACACAAAATTGGTATAACACTGTATCTCCTCCTAGAAAGATAAAAACTAACATGAGCAGTTATTGAAGAATGTGTATATTCAAAGAATGGAAGTTTTATTTGATGAGGAGAAACATTTACAGATTGAATAGCCCCCACCTTCAAATAAAAATCAAGATTATATATACTTCAAAACTCAAGTATAACTTGATGTAAAAGAATGCCTATACATGAATTAATCAATTTGAACTTTGAATCAATAAACCCCTGCATTAAAGCAACTTGTCTGAATAATAATTTTGTTTAGCTGATGCTTACGGAGTCAGTTGGAATCGATTTGGAAACGTCCAGATGGTTCAGCCGACAAGTCCCCAGAAGGAATTCTGGGAGTTCTTCTGGTGTATTACCCTGGCAAATTAAGCACCAAACAAAAATCATTTTTGGCATATTTTTCATGCATTAACTTCAGAAATGCTACTCTTATAAAGGTGTAAGGAGTTAAATCATCTTGCTTTTTTAGCAGTGTGCTACAAAAACAAGACCTTTGCAATGTGCACGCATTGCATAAAGATAACACGATGATTAGGCGTAACGAAAGGAAAAAAAAAAAATTCAGTAGAAAGACAGTGGTTTTTACCTGTATCAGAAATGCCATTTCAATAACAAGATTGTTTAAGTAGCCAAGAACAAGACTGACCACACCCCTTGCAACTGTTGATGATCCAACATCAATGCCAAGCTGAAAATTCAACACAAATTTTCAGGTCAGATAGGAAAAAAGCAACTTCCATTCATTAACTATTACTAGTACTTGATATGAGAGCATAAAACACAAAAAGAACTTTGCACTCTACCTCTAAATAATTTTTTCCCCGGAAATAATGCACTTCCAATGCTTGACCGACCAAGCAAGCTTTCTTACCAACGCTCTGCTTCACTATCCAGGATCCCTATGTACGACAAGCATTATTAGTCCGCAAAATTTAATATGGGATGCTTGTATGTTCAAGTAACGAAAGTTGAAGTGGAATAAACTTCAGATAGTGCTTAGCTAAAATCTTGCTTCAGATCTAATGAACCAACCTTGGATATGTATGGTATGAGCTTAAACCTTGAATTCCTAAAAGAATCATCTCCATTGACAAAACGCTCGAGTAAGGGTGTTTCTTCCAAAGGAGATCTCAACATGTAATATAGAGCAAGATTATAAGTGGTTGCTCCTGGAACCTGACCCATTTAATAAATAGCAATCAGTAAAAACTGAATTCTAAGTCTATGATGATTATACCTATATAAGCCACAGTAATCACCTGGATGTTGATGATAAAAAAGAACTCCGGCCTACCCTGAGCAGCATATCTCTAAACATTGCCAACAAAAAGTTTGAGATATGCAGTCTCTATAGGAAAACAAAGTGAAACTTGGAACATGCATATATTGACTGGTTTTATTTTTTAAACTGTATGAAAAGAACAAGAAAGTACCTGAACTATGCCTCCTGGGCGACCGGCAAGGTCATCTTCACGCCTGTCAGATCTTAACCAATCGGCTGCAACCATTTGCATTAAGGTACTCTTTGCCTTAACCTATAGAGAAGGATAAACTTATCAGAATTCAATAACGAGGAAAGAATATGAACCACATAATATTCAATCAGGTACACAGGCAATGCTTCAATCCTAAGTATTACAACTATTACAATCACCATCAGATGATAAGTAAGGTGAAACTAGAGAAGCTTTAAATCTTTCAACTCTTTCCGGTTCTGTCAGAGCTTCTCTAATTTTGTTGTTGAGAGTAGGGATCATAGCATGCAGAAGCATACAGTAAGGTTGCTACTTAAGAACTGAATCTTGAACGTTATTTCTTCAGTTTATTGTGTTAAAAAGGAAGAAAGGGCAACAATAACAAGTGTTTGAAATACTAAGATTGACTATTGTAAGACAAGCTTATTACCTACTTGTTACTGAACTGGACATATATTTGTCGGAAGAAAGTACTAAACCACATTGATCAAGGCACTACTGTCTTGCAATGCATACTGGTAAGAGAACTCAATCTTATCATCCTACTTGATAAATTTGCTCAGACTCTGAATCTTATATATAAAAACAGGCAAAAATATTTTCAGAGTATTATATAGTAGTGGATACTTTCACTAGGTCTTTCTTAATAAAAGAGACAACCTTTTCCTGGTCTGCCAGGTAGCTTTCAGCGCGAATCAAAAATGATGATGGATCCGCAGCAGCCCAACTGCAAGGCATATTAAAATTTTGATCTTTTGGAAGAGTTGCTCCATAGCACAATGACACACTCTCTTCCCGAGCCATTTCTTGCAAGTCCACATAACCTTTTTTCTGAACTGCAACATTTGAAAATGTAAACAAGAAATATCAACCACGTCAGAGTAACAATTATAACGTATTGGTTATATCCAACTCATCACTGCCTTTTAGTCAAACAACACTAACCTGCAAGATCATGTAATTTTTTCACAATATTTGCAGTGGTCAATTTTGTGTGGTAAGAGTCCTGCATATTACAGCATGAAAGAACCTTGTCATGCAACAACTTGATACTTTACATATTTTGGTAGGTTTAAACAAGGGAACAAGCAAATTAATTGGACAATTAACCATTTAAAATATGTTACTTGAAATTCAATAAAATCCATTAGAAGGTCCTTTCCAAATTTTGGAAAGTTCTACTTCTACATGAAGGATATAATGATGACAAATGACTTGATACTCAATCAACCACTTCTACAAACTAATAAAAAAGCTATTTAAAAATTTAGAGAGTAGAGGGTACCATACAACCCACTTCTGGACTTGCATTGGAAGTCCAAGCATGGTCTGAATGTTCGTCGTCTGACGGTTCAGGAACATCATAAAACTCATCAGCTGCATCATCCAATCCCATGAGATTTGAGGATGCTGGATTTTTTCCGTCATTTGTCACTTTGTCATCCTTGATCATTTTATAATCAACTTCTGTTTTGATCTCTTCCTTTTCACTAACAGGCAGCTCAATATCCCTTGTTAGCGCAGCTGGTGACAACTCCGAGAAGTAGTTCCCTCCCTTTGCTCTGAACATCTCTCTTAGCGCTGCAAAGTAAAAGAGCACAGACCAGTCATTTCAGGTGAAAGCAAGCACCAAGGAGAAGTAGAATGATAAAATGAAATAAAATGTCCATTTCTTATTTGTGCATAGAAGAATACCAGCAATTCTCTCGAGTACGCGGATGGTTATGGATACTGAGGCCCCTTTCTTCAAATAAGGTTTCCAGAACTTCCAATCAATAGCAAGCATGTGCTTTACAATAGATGGTTTACCATGTTTGGTTGGAGTTATAACATGTCCACCACCTGAACAATTCAAAAATGGAAAACAGAAAAAAAGAACGTTTAAGAATAGAAATGTAAGGGAAATTGTGCCTCTCTTCATTGAAATATAGTCTTAGGAAACAGAAAAAGCAATCAAGATCAAACTAAAGGACAAAACATTGAAATGAAAGTATTACTAGGACATTATTACTAGGAATTTATGCAAGGGGATTTCAGAAAATACAAGAATGTGACGCTCAAGATTTGAACCTGTGGCCTAAAGCAATTTTGAACCTCCTTTTCCATTATACTAGAAAAAGGGATTCAACAGTTAATATATAAAAATGGTTCATTTTTGCGCCATTTTTGTAGTAGAATTTCACGATGAAGGGGATTCATGAACCCCTTAGCTCTACATAGCTCTGCCCCTGGTTGTAGGCATGTGAAAGTAGGACGGAAATAGCAAACTACTAAATGACTTAGTATTCGCTTATTCTTCTTTTATGTAGAGAGTGTGCTTTAGCTTCAGTGGGAAATTCATGTCTTTCTTTCATCCCTTTATCTAGGGTCTTATCCGGATGAGTTATATTCCATATACCTTTTTTTACTTTGTCAGTAAGATCACAACGTTTGGAAATATTTTGAACCTTTCTTTTACCTCTATTGAATGTTCCAGATAAAGAAATATGCCAGACAATCACAGCTATTATCTCGTCAATGCTTGCAAACCATGGAAAAATACTCAGAATGCTCTGCTACAATGCTTATTTAACTGACAAATGATTTTAAGGAAAAAAAAACTGACAAATGAGAAAATGAACTAGTGTGAATGCTGCGGGCACGCTGTACCCAAGGAAAGTTAACCTTTCCATAAAATAAGAACATTCAACTAGAGAAGCAAATTAAATGGAGCTAAATTAATATTTCAAATGCAATTTAAAAGTTCAAAGTTAAAGCATACATTACTTTTAATGCAGGCACGGACATATCCATTTTGTGGCGGACACTTGCTGTGGATGACAGAATGATAGAGAATAACTGCATATACACAGAGTAAAACTCAGTCTATGGAAATAAAATTTGACAAGTTTATATTCATTTCTTTGATTACCATATGTGCCATCATCCTCTCTTCTCCAGTAACGCCGTAGGAGCAAGTCTCTTCTTTTTGATCCCCTGCAAAATGAGAGTTAATCCAAGCTTACATTGAGAGGTCAAATTTGTAAGAGTTATGAGTCTCACCATGGCAGCCAATGGTTGTATAGTTGAATGTGTACTATATCTGTATGACCATCGAGGTGCTCAACCACACAGCCTCTATAGAAAGAGAAGTCCCATCTGCAAAAAAGTATCCAAAGTTTCGTCCTTTTCAAATTGCAAATACATGAACAAATATCCTAAATACATAACATCATTAACTCCATTAAGGTGGTCTATTTAGTCATCATAAAAGAAACCACATAGAAGCTCAAAAGTGTTAGTGGTACATGTATATGCCGAATAATTGAAAGAACTGAAAGAAGAGTTAGATATCTTACTCTGATCTTGAGGGACCAAGACACATGAGTGTGCGGAAAATGGCTTCAGATGTTCCTTCAATCACACCCACCGCCATTACTGCTGGAGAACCATCCCGATGCTGAGATGCAAAACCATTTGTTATATCAAGGAAAATATCTACTTAAAATCAGGAAACTCCGACACAACAGATATAATTAGCACACACCTTCCCATTCGGACCTTTGTCCTTCGCTTCTTTAAATAGCCGCAAGCCTGTGGGAAAGCATAAGATAGACATCTATGATTTCTGTCTGAAGCAATATGAAGACTCTGCTTCTTCTTTTGGATATAGTACAAAAGAATAATCCCTACCATTTTGACAGCCAAATATCTTCCATGGAGAAGGAGCAAGAACATCAGATGTCATTGCATCCACATGCATAGAAGATGCAGCAGTCGAATCCATGGAGCTCTTATGGGCCATCCTCTTTGAAACGCTCAACCTGTAAAAACCATACGATACAATTCATTTCCATAAGTTACTGAGAGCATAACAAATGACCTGCTCCACCTGGATAAAGCCGCCCAGACCTAAAGTATAACAATAAACCAATTTTAGTTGTTCTAAAGAATTTGAGCGTCCAATTCAAACCAATGGTTAGTGGGTGGAATAGCTTATTTTCTTCATCAAGAACCTCTATCTGTTCTATTCAATCACTGAAGAGCGCTGTATTTCATTAGCACATGCATTACATTAACACAAACACTGATATACCCTATTAAAAATTTGAGCATCTATTACCAACCCAAAAGCAACTGAAAATGGGTGGCATGGACTAGGCAACATAAGTTCCTTGAATTAACCTGGGGCACGATATTTTATAAAACTATGGGTATGCCATTTCATCGTTTTTGTATATAAAACTGATGGATTTTGTTAGGGAATGAATGCATGTCTATATGCAAATATTACCAGTCTTTTACTGAACTCTAATTAAAGAGAAGGAAATACGAGGGACTCTAAGAAAATGAGAGATTCTAGATGTAATATTATTCTTAAGAATTTGATTTTATAATTGTTAGAATGCCTCATATTGGTTGAGAGAATGAGTTGTTGTCTCATTATATGGTCTTGGACAATCTTCACCTCATTCATAAGATAACTTTCGAGGTTAAGTTAGGCCGAAGATCTATTTTCTTAACATGGTATCAGAGCTAGACAAATCCTTGTTATTGTGTTTCCTAGTGTTGGACTCCCATGATATGTTATCTACGCTCCAGATATATAGTGTTGAGCATGCGCAGGGTGTTTGACAAGAGTGTGTTGCTCTAGTGGTGAGCACCCTCCACTTTCAGCCAAGAGGTTGTGAGTTCGAGTCACCCCAAGAGCAAGGTGGGAGTTCTTGGAGGGAGGGAGTCGAGGGTCTATCGAAAACAACCTCTCTACCCCATGGTAGGGGTAAGGTCTGCGTACACACTACCCTCCCCAGACCCCACTAGTGGGATTATACTTGGTTGTTGTTGTTGTTGCATGCGCAGGATGTTAGAGTCAGTGGCAGAGCCAGAATTTTCGTTAAATGGTGTCAAAATATATAAAAGTAAACATACCAGGAAATTAAGGAGAGTCAAAACATAGTATATATATACATATAATTTATTTTTTTACCTATCTACACAGTGTATTTTTCCCGCGAAGGGGTGTCATTTGACACCCCTTCCTATAAGGTGGCTCCGCCACTGGTTAGAGTGTTTCACGTTAATTTAGAGAATGATTTTTGTCACCTTATATGGTGTTGTATAGTCCTTATCTAACTTTTGAGATTGAGTTAGGCTCCATATCTTTTCTAGTATGTATGCTATCTATACAAGAATTAGATTTTCTGCTCAGTTATATGGTACTTTAAGTTAAAATGAGAGAGATACCACTCTCCCAGTCATGAAGATCTGAGTCTGGTTACAAAAATAGGGCAGCATATGAACAGCAAATGAAGCTTTAGAAGTAGTAATTTAAGCATGAATGTTTTAAAAAAAACCAATTGTTAACCTGAAAGGTTGCCATTTTCTTCTTGAAGGAGCATGTAAGCTTCTTTCCGGGTTGAGTGCAGGATCCTTTAAACAATGTATCCATCTGGCAGCCTCTTCTGGACTGGATGCTCCCAACTACAAAAAAAAAAGTGAAAAGAGAGGCTTGTATTTGAGAGTTTTATCCTGAAAGATTGAATTCACTCTGTAAAAGGAGCATACCTTGAGCTGATCATTGTGATCAGAGGTGTTATACAAGGTGAAAATGAAGAACACCTGCAAGGAGAAACTGATGATTTAATAAGAAAAAAAAACAAAAGAAGGTGAAGCCTTGCTTTATCTTTCAAACTATGAAACGTGTAAAATTTTTAGCACATACTTTTCTATGAAAGCTCTCTCTTCCATTGTCCGTGACACGGATGCAAGAGTCTATTATTGCACTTCTTATTGGTTCCTGACATACATCAGAAGCACATGTGGATATGAGGAATCAGTTTCTGCAACATGGAAAGTAAGTGTAATATTCTCTTTACTGAGTTTGCTCATTCAAAACACAGGCATTGTCGAACTAGTCTCCTATTATGCAGTTTAAACAAAGAAACTGCAGTCCGGCAAGAACTTGAGGTAGTTAAAATTTCTGTATGATATTTTACATATCATTCCTATATCAAATTTTTATCTCAAAAAAGTTAGTGTTTATAGGGTGCTACTACCTTTAAGGCAACACTTGAAGCATGCTTTGTAAAAGGTAGAGTATACTCTTCCACTTCCGTATATAATTCCCACTGATTTTCCACAATAAGTTCTTTTTCACATTGCCGCTTTCTGTCTTTGCCTCAACACAGACATTCACGGCCTCAACTAACCAAGCCTATAAGTAGTGAGACCTAAGTTTTTACTTCAGGGTGCTTACTACCTAAATATGACTACTTCTTTAACGTCTTTTATTGGATCTTAGCAGGCTATTACACATCAAAAGCAACAAAACTATGGAAATTCCCGTCGAAGAGTTCAAAACTTTGTGTTACTATAGAAGAATCAAAATTTCCATCTAGCGCATCATTGCTCTTAAGTGCAAAAACTAATCCACCAAAGAAAAGAAGTACAGCATAATCCTACATCAACTAACCAGCTCTTTTCTTTTAGGCCTATAATATTTTAACCAGCTCTTTTCCTTTTTAAAACACTTAAAACTGTCAATGTCATCCACAATTGAATAGCTCCCAACGTGCCAACTTGTATTGAACATTGGAAGCATGAGTTCAAGAATAAGAGAAAAGAACAAGTGAAAAAAAAAACCTTAAGGAGCCAAAATCAATACCCCCCCCCCCCCCCCCCCCAACAACACCAAACACACACACACACACACAGCAAAAGCATATTGACATAAGAAAAACTCAAATTAACATATATTCAAATAGCACCATTCAAAATGAAATAAGAAACATCTTGAAAGTGAAAGGGAAAAACAAAATGAATTAAAGTACCTCTTTTGGTGAAGTGGGAATGGATTTGAAGCTCTTGAGGCAGTTGTCTTCAAGAATGAAGTATCTTTTACGTGAATATTGCAGTCCAAACCTGTTTAACCTCATCAGGTAAAGCCACCCCTCCATTTTCCCTTCTGTTTCTTGCAAACCCATTTCACCAATCCAAACCTCTTCTGATCCTCAGAAAGGGAAAAAAAACTTTCTTTTTTTCCTTAAATATTTTCTCCCCTCAAAATCTTGAAATATTTTTCATTCAAAGAAACATACATATATATGTATGAGTACATCATTGAAATAAATTCATGTGAGGACTATATGCATACATGCAAAAAGTTTTTTAAAAAAAAAGGTGAAATGGGAAGGGTGAGAAGGGGATGAAATTAATGATCCTCTGATCCCAGAAAATGGAATCAGAGAACCAATCTTCTTTTTTTTGTTTAATTATTCTTTGGCAGAATGCCGGAGTTGTTTTGTGTGACTTTCCCGGCAAACTGCCAATTGGTTTAATTCCCTTTTCTTTTTCTTTCTGAGTTTCTCTTCTCTGTTTCTCCTCTCCTCCCCGCTTTGAAAATTAACTGTTTTTTTATGTTTATAGGAAGTTGACGGTTCTGTCTATTTACTCTTTTGTCCTTTCTAGTTCTTTGAAATATATTTTATCTTTCCTTTTTTTTTTTCTCCCTTTGCGAAAAGAAATTTACATTTTGAGATTTTGAAATAACTAACCACTTGAACTCCTTTCTCCTCCGAAATTTACTCCCTCTCCTTGAAATTAGGAATTTACAACAATGATATGATACCCCACCAATCATTTCCAACGCGATTTTGTTAACCACAAAATCGTATGTAAAATTTTCTATATGTTTCTTTCTGCTATTTTCCAGGAATATTTTCTCAAAATATTAAATAAATTATTTTATTTATATTATACGTGAACGAAAATTGTGTTGTACTTCATAAATCATGATCATGTATACAATAACCATTTTGTGATTAGAAGTCCAAACTTATTCATGATCATGTTGACAAAGCGAACTCACAGTAGAGGCTACAGATTTGATCGAACTCGATGTATTTATATCATACCTCGTATATCTATTAAGAAATCTAGTAAATACATATAAATATTATATTTTGAATCCAGTAACTCAAATGATCATTCAGTGGCACCTCGACCCATAAAGTTCAAAACTTGGATCACACCTATGAATATATAGAGCTTACGTAGTTGTCATTCTGCATTTTAGAAAGACGAAATTATAGAAATATATATTCTAATGCAGCCATACTATTTTTTAACATTTGTATTCGTACTGGCCGTTTACTAGGAGGCGAGCTAGGGTGCGAAAAAGGGTTCATCGTAGAATTTCCTTCGACAGAAATTACACTGCTAAGTCAATATTATTTTTTCTTATTTTTTCTGTATTTATAATAGACGTTGAATTTTCTTGTCATCTTTATGTATTTATTTTCTTATATTTTGAATTACCTTAGTGAAAATCTTGGCTCTATCACTAATGTCGAGTTATTAGATGAATAGTATCAAAAGATAAATAATAAAACTAATAAAGCTGCTATAAATGATATTAGTTAATTAGAAGCTTAAGGATATTTTGGTAAATGCATAACAACATTTCCTGAAAGGGGTTGTATTCCATTACCTACTGGTTATTGATCACTATTAATTTATGTCTTGCTAAGATAGCTATTGATTAGAATGGTTGGATTGTTATAATTATAACTTGAAATGATTACTTGCTTAAGATGTCTTATTTAATGATAATGCGAATAAATGCAGTTAATACTGGAAAAGGAATAACCAGGGGCGGCAGTGGCTTTAGGCCCCAAAAAATGAAGGCCCCAAAATTGATCATATATAAAATATAAACTATTATATATTTATTATAAGTGAAAAACAAATTTTTGTAATTATATGATGCCAATTTTTATTAACCGCTATTTTCAAAGTTTATACTAAATAATGTTTTAAAATATCATTAATGCTATTACGATTGAAAATAGCAGGCAGTTAAATTTGTTGCTACTTCCTATTTTAATTTTGTCTAATGTATTTGAACTTGAATCATTCTTGTTTATAACTTCTGTGTTGCAAGATATTTTTTTCAATTCTGTGAGTGTCTTCTTAAATATGTTCAAGCTCAAGCTAACTAGAGTATTAAATGATTAGATTAGAAAAATATATTGTCTTATAGCTTATTTCCTCATAAAAGCTTGGTCAAACATCTCAACTTCTTAAAAAGGTACTTTTTAGGGAAAAAATATTTTTGCCGTTGAAAAAGCTTGGTCAAACAGACTATTAACATTGAATATCTTTTAAAGCATAATAATCTATGAAATTGAGGGGTTTACCTATTTTTGGAACTAAAAGTGATAGAAAAACGGTATAAGTAAAAGATGATATATGTGAAGTCTTAATTATAGTTTTTAAATATGTTTATTGCTTATAGAATAATTTAAATATTTTCTCTAATAGTTGCCTTAATTGAAAAATATTTATACTAAAATCAAGTAAGATTTAACTTAAGATCAACAATATCTCATGAGAATTACAGACGTCTAATCATATTGTCAAGTGAAAAAAAATTGATTCTCCAATAATTAACTTCCTTGCATATTAGGAAGCTATAAGAATAAACATCAAATAAAATATATAAAAAATTTACTAAAACAATTTAGGGCCTCTTTTTTGTTTTGGCTTTAGGCTTTAGGCCATATATTCTATTGAGCCGCCACTGGGAATAACTTTGTAATATTTGAGAATCTTTCTTAAGAGGTTTAACAATATTATTAAAGACTACCTATGTTTTATATTTTGAGTCACATTATTTCCTTTTTAATTTATCTTAACTTTAAATTTATTTTAACCTTAGAAACAAGCTTTACACATAAATGTCACGACATGTTTAAAACCATAAATTATAAAAAAAAATTCTTTTTTTCTAAATTTCTTGTCTAATTAAACACTGGTATACAAAATAAAATGCAAAAAGTAAGTTTTGTTAAGAAGAGTTTTTAATTGCCAAAGACCAGGATGATTGTCGAGTTGTTTGCTTAAAATAAGTCTTTTTGTGAGGCAATTAGTCCAAATGGATGATTCCCATTCTCTCTTAATTCTTTTTTTTTTTCCCAATGATTTCTTAACACCAAACTTGTGCTTATCTGGCTCTCTACAACCCCAATATCCCCACCCAACCACAAGGAGCCAATTCCATAAGTAAGGTTGTGCTAGTTGTTAAGTAAATCGCAACAAATTGTTTTTGAGGTACGCATGAAAACCACTTCATCATAAATGGTGACACTAAGAAATTCAGTAAAAAAAATCGAATAAAAAAGTTTTCACAAGGATAATTAGCAATGGTGGTTGGAGTTTTACAAATTATTCACAAGTTATTCATATTATATCTTCTTGTAAATTAGACATAAAAACCAACGGTGAGAAAGACTGGTATTTTTTGTACATCAGCAAATATACCATTGGGTAAAAGAAAGAAAGTAAGAAATAAAGATGAATGTGTAGCTAGCTCCCCGCCTTGGATCAATGGTAAGGTTGTCTTTGTGTGATTTATAGGTCACGGATTCAAGTTGTGAAATCAGCCACTGATGCTTGTATCAGGATAGACTGCCTACATTACATCCCTTAAGGTGTGACTCTTCTCCGGACCTTGCGTGAATACGGGATGCTTTGTGACACCAAGTTGTCCTAGTGCCCTAGTTTAGCTAGCTTCCCCTTTATTTTTGTGACATTATTCATCGTGAAAAAGAAACACGACCTCTATCAATTCTGAAGTCTCAGCCCCTTCACTCTTTGTTCTTGTGATCTGTGACTTTCATCATGCAATTAACAGCCCATCGCTTGCCAAGATAGGCAATCCTTTTTTTCTTTCTTTCTATCTTTTTCTCTTTATTAGGTTATTTACTTATAACTTGGAAATGAAATATGCAAAAAAGAAAAAAAGTGCTTTATCTTATTTCCCCCATTCAATATTAAAAGAATGAGCATTTTCCAAGACTCATTTTGCTTCCTATGTACGTAGAGAAGTTTTTTATTTTTTGTACACTTAAAGAGATGGTGGTTTGATTCCCAGGAATGTTTGCTTCAACTTTCATTTAAAAAAGAGAGAGGGAGTTGGTGTTTTGTGATTGGAGAAGAATTTTCCTGTAATACAACAATGAGCTTACAATTTGTCTCTTCGACTCAAAAACCCCAAGCTTAGGCCATAAGGCAGTGACAAAACAATGAATTTACCCCTTTGAGCACCCAAGAGGGAAATCAAATTTGAATTAATAAAAGTACTTATAGTGTGTTTGGTTGAAGGTACTTTTTAACATTAATCGTTATAAGATCAGAGTGGAAAATATACTTATTATTGTGATATAAAATGGTGAGATCAGAAATTTGAAATGTTCCAATAAAGACTAATAAGACAATCATATGCAGTCAAAGTAATTAATTAATTAATTAATTAAATTCCTACGAAGCTCCGAATTTTGGATGGTTTTATTGATATGGTCATTGCTAATCATCTATCGTAAGATTTCTTCTTTTTCTTTATTATTGTTTCTCTTTCTGCTCTTCTCTTTTTCTTTCTTAAATGTTTTTTTTCCTCTGTTTGATTAGGTAATTTGCAGTTGAAACGTAGTTAAAATATTTTAATATAGCATGTTCTGAATAAGTGTATGCACTTTGCACTGCTCCAGAAAGCACCCCAACCCCATGCCCACCCCTCAAATTGATATAATATGAGGATTAACAATTTGTAGGTTATACCAAAAATGTAGTTCAAAATACAAACTCACTGCAATTTTACATGTTTTTCAATAATGCAAATATTTATAATATCTTTTATTAGGAATTATCAATATCCCAATCTATACTTAAGATGGCCTTACACCTTGGCTTGCAGCTAGTACAGTAGTACACTATAACTACTCAGGAGAACTCAGGCTATATATCTTCTAAGCTGTTAGTGTTGCACACTCAGTAAGTAAAAAATTATATGCACAATAATTAGAATTAGGGATAGTTCATTCACTACCTTTAATATTATAGATACAAGATTCTATTCTCACGATGCTCTTCTTTTCCTCTTTCCTTTACCCTTGTCTCCCACCCCTTTGGAGAAAGAAAAATATGGTCAATAACAAGTTTCTTTTCAAGAGAGAAAAAAGATAACTAGTCCAAGTTGTCACAAATCAGCTTTTAGTATTATTAGAGTTTAATTAGTATTATGTAATCGAGTCCTTTGTTGAAGTCTTTAAATTATCAATTTAGTCCCTTATGTCTAGTTGTCTTATTTCAATCAAGTCACAATAGTTTGTTATCAAAATTGAGACAGGTGTCTCGCTAAGGCATAGTGCCGTTAGAATCCTAGGATAAATTTTTATATAATGACAACTCCTTGTACTGAATTCTTATCGAAATATGAACTAACATTTTCCCCTTTCTCTCTTATCTTGTCTCTTCTCCCTTTTCCTCCTTTCTTATTCTGTGTTCAATCGCCATTGAAGTAACATAGCTTGACTCTCGTTACAAATGGTATCAGAGCAACATGGGCCTATTGCTCTCGCTGCTATGTCACCGGCAGCGGAGATTAACGAATTAAAAAATGAGATAACAACTTTACGCACACAACTCTCTCTGTTTGTCGATGATGTCGGAAAAAGATTTGAGACCTTAGAATCAAACCAGTCAGTGAGTCACTACCAAGCATAACTCGATGAGTTGAAGGAATCGAATAAGAAACTGGATTTTATTATTTCAAGCATGGGTTTATCCAGACAAGCTGATTCGACGCCTGCTACACCTTCTACGACGAATGTTACCATTACTCAATAGTTGACTCCGGCGACTTCTTTCTCTAGTCAGCAAGCCACGACCAATGCTCATTCAGCTCCGGCTATCTACAAATTTGGAGGAGTATCAGGCACTAAGACTCCATTTGTGTCGACTCAAGCTCTTTTCACTCCTTTAACTTACCCTGTCGGATGTGGATTCACTTTTCCTACAATACCAGTTTTTAATAACCCTCCTATTTTTTAAATCCCTACTTCTTCCCCTAATTCACCACTGTTACCAATACCTGTTACCCCGTTGGTTCGAGCCCCAACCAGAAAACCTTAAAGCCTAAGCTCAATTTCTCTGATTTTGATAGTACCCTAGAGGTTGGCTAAGAAAGTGTGAAAAATTCTTTGAGCTTTATAATATTTCTGAATAGGAGAAGTTGAGCTATGCATCTATCCATGTGCGAGATAAGGTGGATGTGTGGTTTGACAGTTATTTGGTCAATCACAGAGGTTGAATTACTTGGCAGAAATTCTGTGTTGAGTGGGCGAGTTTAATAAAATAGTGCAAAAGAGGAGTGTGGATCAATATTAAGAGAGATTCGAGGAACTCACTAGTTATATTACTATAATCAATTCCTTATTGAATGAAACTCATTTTGTTTCCAGTTTCATAAGTAGTTTAAAACCAGAGCTGAAACCATTAGTGAAGCTAGCCAACCCTACAACTATTATGGATGCTTATGAGATTGCCAAACTTTATGAAGAGTCATTTGCAGCATTGGTCTCTCTTATACCTTCCAGACCTGCCTTGACACCTTCCTATAATAGACCCTTGGCCATTACCTACCCAAGAGCTTCACAAAATCTTAAACCAGCTACTCTACCAGCCCCTAACCAACTCTTGAGAATTACTTATCCTAACCAGAAACCTCCCATTAGAGCTCCCCTCAAACCAAATACCTTTGAGGCTCTCAAGGAGTATGGACTCTGCTACAAGTGCAAAGAAAGATACTATCCTGGCCATCAGTATAAACCTAAGACTCTTCATGCCTTGGAGGGTACAAAGGGTGAAAGAGAAGCAGAGACTGAAGAGTTTGTTGATGCACCTGAAACATTGGAAGAACCAACTGAGGAGCAAGCTGAAATTTTCATCAATGCTATGAGGGGATTAGTAGCTCCTGGAAAGACCCCTTCCATAATTAAACTACTGGGTATGCCAAAAAGATTGTCGTGATTGTATTGATAGATAATGGATCTACTATTTCTATTGTAGATCCCCAGGTTTCCATAAGATTAAAGTTACTCATACAACCTACTGTTGTGCCTATGAATGTAATAGTTGCCAATGGTCAAACTATGTATTGTGAGAAGTGGTGCCCTAACTTTACATGGACCATGCAGGATGAGGTCTTTTCTTTTAATATTAGACTGCTAAAAATTGGAGGTTGTGACACGGTATTGGGAATGGACTGGATAGATCAGGTAGCCCCTGTTATACTTCATACTAAACCCTATAGCCTGTCATTTTTGAAGGAAGGAAGGTTGATTACCTTGTTAGGGATTAGTGAAAACACAGAAGTATCAACTGTAAAAATTCAGCAATTGTGGAAAATGTTGAATTCTGGAACATGTGAAGTAGTTTCTGAACTTTGCACTGTGAATGTTGGACCTGCAGTCAAAGAAAAAAAGTTGTTGAACCCTGATATTGAGAAGCTTTTGTTGAACTATGCAGATATTTTCAAGGAACCCATCGAACTGCCACCTGCAAGGAACTGTAACCATGCAATCAATTTGATCCCTAGTGCTCAACCTTTTAATTTTAGGCCATACGGTATTCCTTCAATCAAAAGAATCCATAGAGTCTATCATTAATGAAATGCTTAAGGCTGAAACTGTTATTCCACGTCAGTCTCCATTTGTTTCACCTCCCTTATTAGTGAAAAAGAAAGATTCAACTTGGAGACTCTATGTAGATTATAGAAGGTTGAATACAATAACTGTTAAGAACAAAAAACATATTCCCATGATAGAGGATATTTTAGATGCGTTATGTGGGGCTACTGTGTTTTCAAAGATAGATCTCAGGGCTGGATACCATCAAGTGAGGATGAAGTCTGTGGATGAACATAAAACTGCTTTTAAAACCCACTATGGGCTTTGGCAATTCAGAATCATGCCATTTGGACTAACTAATGCACCTCCTACCGTTCACTTAATGAATGAAGTATTCAAGGCACAGTTAAAGAGGTATATACTTGTTTTCTTTGATGACATCCTAGTCTATAGTAAGACTATGGAAGATCACCAAAAACATCTACAAGTGGTGTTGCAACTATTAAGGAAAAATAACTTGTTTGCCAAAAGAAGCAAATGCGAGTCCTCAGGTGGAATACCTGGGACACATCATATCTGGAGCTAGAGTGAGTATTGATCCCAATAAAGTGTCTACTATACTCGAATGGCCTCAACCTTTAACATTGAAGGAGTTAAAGGATTTTCTTGGTCTGACTGGTACTATAGGAAGTTCATTCAGGGTTATGCCCAATTGAGCAGACTATTGACTACCTTACTGAAGAAATGTGAATTTCTATGGGGAAAGGAAGCTACTGAAACATTCAACAACCTTAAGAAGGCCATGCGTACTCCGGTTCTAGCATTATCAGATTTCAGCAAAACCTCTGTCTTGGAAGTAGATGCTTGCAACACATGTGTGGGAGCTGTTCTAATGCAAGATAAAAGGCCTTTGGCCTTCATGAATTAGACATTAAGCAAAAGACACCGGGGTTTGTCTACCTATGAAAAGAAGCTAATTGCTCTGTTGATGGAAGTTGAAAGATTGAGGCACTACCTACACCCACATTACTTTATAATTAAAACTGACCATTTTGGTTTAAAAGTTTTACATAATCAGAAAATTAGTACCTCATTGAAGCACAAAGGCTTGATTAAATTGATGAGGATAAGCAATGACATTAGGTACAAGAAAGGGGTGGAGAACATAGTGGCAGATGCACTATCTAGAAGGTGTGATCAACAACAGCCTAACAACTGCCATGTGATAACAAGGTTACAACCCAAATAGATTGAAGAGGTATTAGCCAATTATGAAGAAGATCAAGACATGATGCATGCCATCTCCAACATAAGTACCAATCCAGTTGCCAATATAGATATTACTATGTAGCAACGAATGTTAAGATACAAGGGTAAAGTGTGGGTTGGCAAGCATGGCCAACTCAGGCAGCAACTAATACAGCAATATATGCCTATGGTCCTGGTAGACATTCTGGTATCATGGAAACTTATCTGAGATTGAAAGCTATCTTCTATTGACCTTTGATAGTGGAAGATGTCAAGAAAGTAATGCAAGGGTGTGAAATTTGTCAAAGGTGTAAAGATGAACAAGCTGCTTACCCAGGATTACTGCAGCCACTACCTATACCTGAAAAGGCATAGGACCATATTTCAATGGACTTTGTTGAAGGGTTACCAAATTAGGAAGGTCAAGACACTATAATGGTGGTTGTGGACAGGTATAGCAAGTATGCACATTTTTGCCCCTTATCACATCCCTTCATAGCATCTCAGGTAGCCAAATTATTCCTTGATACTATCTATAAGTTACATGAGCCACCTAAGAGTTGTAACTGATAGGGATAGGGTGTTCATTAGTGTCACGACCCAAAATCTCACCACATGCGTCGTGATGGTACCTAGTCTCTAAGAGTAGGTAAGCCGATTTCTATCACATTTTGAAGCCATTTTTGTTTTGAATTAAATAAATAACCAAAACTAACAGCAGAACAAATATGAATGTACAACCTCCCAAGACTAGTAGTACTGAGTCACGAACTCTAAATGAATACATGGAATGATCACGAGGACCGAATATACAATACTGTTTGATTAAAAATTAACAGTACAATAAAATGAAAAGACTTCAAGGGACTGCGATGACCAAGCAGCTCTACCTTGAATCCTTACGATCCCGCTTTAAATCTGCTCAAGTCCGATATCTCCAATACCTGGTTCTGCACAAAAATGTGCAGAAGTATAGTATGAGTACACCACGGTCGGTGCCCAGTAAGTATCAAGACTAACCTCAGTGGAGTAGAGACGAGGTACAGTCAAGACACTCACTAGTCTAATAACCTGTGCAATATAGCATGCAAAAATAATAGAAAATAAATAGCAGTAATAGCAACATCAATCAACTAGTGATTTAAATAGCAAGGTAACAGGACCACCATAAATATTTCTCAAACGAGTAATAAACACAGGCACATCCAATTAATCAGGTCCTTCAGAATATACATCTTTTATCTAAGTTATTCAATAAAAATCTCTGGAATATAATTCTTTTCAATAAATATATTTTCGAATATAATTATTTCAAGTAAATATCTTTCGAATATAATTCTTTCAAGTAAATATCTTTCGAATGTAATTCTTTCAAGTAAATATCTTTCAAATATAATTCTTTCAAGTAAATACCTTTCGAATATAATTCTTTCAAGTAAATATTTTTCAAATATACTTCTTTCAAGTAAATATCTTTATAATATAATTATTTCAAATTTCTAATATAATTCTTTCGAATAATATCTTTCAAATATACTTCTCTCAAGTAAATATCTTTATAATATAATTCTTTCAAATAAATATCTTTCTAATATAATTCTTTCGAATAAAAGTCACCATGTGA